ACGTGACGTTGCGCACTGACGCGTCGCTGAGTCAACTAACGCGGTTTCGCGTTAGTTTTACTTGCTTCACTTTCGGTGCGCGTACTAGTATTCTATGCGTAATAATTCTATGGTCGAGCCATTTTCGCAAGCACCCTTTTGTGGATTCTCTTTTTTAATTTAAATGTATAATATACATTCGCATTGCTGCATTGCTGTGTGTTATTTGTTTTAAACATCTAGTTTTATAAAATAATACAATGTATATTTATGTAATTTATTTTAAACCATAATATGAACTACCTAAAAAAAAAAAAATACCTTCAGGCTGCTCACAAAGCAAAGTAATGTAAAGTAGAATTAAAATTTTATAAAAAGTAAAAATTGACTTAAAAAACTAAAGAAAACAAAATAATTAGGTATAAAGTGTTTGCAATTTTGGAAGTTTGCAAAACTTCTATTTTTTGTGTTTGTTTTTATTGTGTATATTATTTCTTGGTATAGTTCGTGTTTTGGAATACAAAATGGGTGAAGATTAATATTAATGCAAAATATAATATCTGACGAAATGAGCCTGAATTGACACTGAAAGTAATAGCAGCAAAGAAACATAAAACACCATTAAAATATTCTTGGAATAACTCTTGTTCTAGTGTGAAAGCTCAGTAACTACTTCCAAATAGCCTCACTATACTTAGAATTGCAAATGGCAAAATGTAAAATTGGTTGATTTTCAAATTAATATCAATTTATTCTAAGAATAAAATTTTACTTTTGTTTTGTCAAATCCATTCTAAGCAGTATAATTTTTTTCAAATGCCAGATAGTAGACGATTCTACCTGTAGATAAAAGTAACTGCATTTTTAGACCATCTTAACTCCATAAATTCTAAAATTCAGTTTACAATGGAGTTAGAGGCAAACAATTCTTTAGCTTTTCTAGATGTGTTAGTAATTTGGAAACCTGATAACAACTTGAGCCACACTGTATAGAAAAAAGACCCATACAGATAGATATTTAAATGGTGATTCTCATCACCACCCTTCACAGTTAGCTACCGTGGGTAAATCTTTGTTTCAGAGAGCACGAGTAATCTGTGACAGTAAACACCTGGCCGCCGAGCTCCAACACGTGAACCAAGTTTTGCACAACAATAAGCTTCTGATCCCGTGCCTACGTCACAGTGAACGAGTGAAGCTGGCCACAGTCGAGCAAGTGCTTGCTGTACTGCCATATGTCAAAGGTGTCACTGACAAGATTGGCAAGATTTTGAAGCGTGCTTCCATTATAACATACTTCAAGCCGCCGAAGAAGATTAGTCAGTTTTTGTACCATCAGTCAAGTGTTATGTCCCTATGTAAGATGCAGGAATGTACAAGCTTGATTGTGAATGTGGTCTCTCTTATATAGGACAAACAAATAGATCTATAAAAACCCGCATTGAAGAACACGTAGCTGATGTGAAGAATCGACACTCAGGGAAGTCTGCAGTCTGTGAACACTTACAGGATCGCCACCATCACTACATTAGATTTGATAGACCACAAACCCTCGCTAGAGAACACCAATTCCTTCCAAGGATAATTGGTGAGGCTATTGAAATCAAAAAATATCCTCATTTCAATAGAGAAGAAGGCTGGGTACTAGCATCTGCTTGGGATCCCATAATTAATAAAATTAAATCCCAACCCTAGCATACAACTGCAAGACTTCAAGATACTGTCAGTTCATACTGTGTAGATTGTAACAAAAATTAATAATTTTTAATCTGGAGGTAGCTATGATTAACTATGATATTGGGACATCATACACTTCAGTCCCCCCAGTGACAACTGGTGCTGTAAAGTGCTTGAAACATTGAGAATATAAATCACTTCATTTTAAATCGGTCTGGTGAGCCAGCAAAGCAAACAAAACAAAGATCTCACTATCCCATTTGTGTTAGGTGACTGTAAATCCTTTAGACAGAAATAGGAGTCTCGCACAGTGGGGCTTCGTCGAGAACACCTTATTACAATATTTAAATTTGCTATGATATGGACTTAATTTTTTTTTTCATTTGCCCTTAACCTTTTACATAAGCCTCGAAAATGTCCTTATCTTCAGAGCTTGTGATAAGATAGTATTCCAAAATTTTAGCATATTTTAAATTGATCTAGACTACTTGACTTTCAGTGTTTGACCTTGACTTCTGAGTTGTTGACCTTGTCTCATTATTGCTTAACACATTGATTGCCCTTTTAAATATCAATCCTAACTACGGGGGCCCACATAAAAATTTATAAAAATATTGAGTGTATGTAAGAAAACATAAATTAGGACTATATAATAATATTCATTTATTTATTATTATTGTTATTCTATAATTATTATCGCCAACACGGATCCGTGTATCAGGCCAATAACATGCGTGTGGCCAGCTACGCGGATCCGTGTTGGCGAGGGTTGTGCAATAAAGAACATGTTATTATTACAGTAGGTACTTCTGCTCCTTTGCACCATAATGACCACCCCATAAAATGACAGACAGTGTAAACAACAAACAATTTTTATTAATTTAAAACATAAGAAGGTAGGTAAATAAGGCACTAATATACACAATATACTAAATACGTAACACACTTTAAGAATGGACATTGCTAAAACATGCTGTACAATATCCTGGGGATCCATCACATCCTTTGCACTCGTATAAGGTAGCTATTATTTTCTTCTTGGCTCTGCAGCCCTTGCACTCCTTCCTGATGATTTCTCTAGTAATTTTTGTGGAATTACTATCTTGTTTTTCACGTAATTTAATTTTTTTTATTTTCGTCAAATGGTGTTGAATTTTTAACTTAGACTTAATTTGCTCCGTTGGTACAGGTTGAGGTAAAAGATTTTCTAAGATAGCTATTCGAAAATCATAGAGGTTCATCTTGTCGGAAAACGCGTTAATTAGGCTCATTTGCAGAATATGTACAAAAAGTTTTTTGTACCAGCGCAGCGTCTTTCTTTGGCATGGGTAATAGGCCAACATTTGGTCCTGAATGTCTACCCCAGACATAAAGCTGTTGTAATGGACGATAGCTGAGGGTTTTAGCAACACTTGGCCCCTTTTACTAGCAACTACTACCATCTCGTCGTCATGTTCCATGGATATATAGAGCACATTCAGTTTGTCTCACCAATTACCGATGTGGACACCATTCAAGAATGATGATTTGTTTTCTCCCTTTCTGAGTGTGACTGAACCGAGATCCACTGGATTATTTTTTTCGGTCAGATCCGGTTCCACCAGAACATATAACTTTATACCGTATTTGTGGCGCTTGTTTTTAATATATTGCCGAAATATAAGTCGACTTCGCCATAAAACCATTGACTCGTCAAGTGATAATTGTTTACCTGGACTGTAAATACGTTTCATCGTCTCATTAAAATGGTTCATGATCGGGCGAATTGGAACCAACCTATCTTCCTCATTTGAATCAGAAGAGAAGTGTAGGCAACGTAGTATTAACATAAAACGGTTTCTTGGCATGTAACGAGAAAAACATGGTAATTTAAATAGCCAGTGTGTTTTCCAATAATCACTTAGCCTATTTAGGCGAATTGTTCCTGTATGCAGGAGCAGTCCAAAAATTTCCAAAGTTCTTCACATGTTACATCCTTCCAGCGTGTGATTCTTGATTGATCTGTTACACCAGGTGAAGATCTTACTGCGTGAGCGTTACTTTCTTGCACAATTAGGTCTATCAATTTATCATTAATCAAAATGCTCAATGCTTCAAAAGGATTCGCTGGAGGCGGTACTATTAGCTCTTGTGACTGAGTAAAGTAAATTGTCTTCATTGAGCTTCGATCAGTGCTCCAAGTTTCTGTAGGGCAATCTAGAGAGGGTACATTTTCATCGTTTTGAATAGCTGCAGCTACCTCTAGAGAGAGTAAATTTTCTGGATTATTTGGAATAGGCGAACGGAAAATAGACGGGCTGACTAAATCACCACGTTCTGAAGATCCTTCTCGACAGGATAAGTTTTCCGCAATATTACGAATAGGCGAATGAGGCAAGGAGGAGCTAAGTGAATTATGAGGTTCCGATGCTAAATTGCCATCACAGTAGTCAGGAGTAGGCACGTCAGATCTTAACAGGGAAAAACTAGGGGTAGACATATTCTCTCGTAATAGATAATCAGGTCAGTCAGGAAGTTCATTGTAATCCTGTTCTATGGAAGGGATATGCTGGCTATTTGCTGGTGGTGGTTGTGGCATAAGCTCATCCTCCATTTCCTTAGGAGATTGCGGCATAATATTATCTACCGTTTTTTAAGCAGAGGACAATTCAGCTGACACATGCGATGGACGTGGCTTAGAAGCTATGTTATTTGATTTTGTTGACGTCAAGGCTGAACTTGACTTCTGGAGAGTGTTCAATGTATGCTTTACCATTTCAGGTTGTTTCCGAGTATCAAAAATGCTCAAATTACTGTCATCACTTTCCTCTTCAGATGATCCATCTTCATAATCACATTGCAAATAAACCTCTTCATCACTCGGAAATTCTAAGAAATCCATGTCAATTCCTTCACCTTCATCACTACTATTACGTCTTTTTTGCAAAACACTGTCTTTTTGACACTACTAGAACGCTTCAAAGTACTCGGTTTACTATTCATTTTGGTAGGAAAACACATCCTTTTCGTTAGCTAATCAAAGTGCAACTAAACAAGTTATCCAAAATCCAACACAGGTTTTCATAAGTTTAATTATACGTACGGATGGCGAAGCAGACAAAGTTAACTTGCCGCGAGAGTCCAAAGCTCACTGGCTAATAGAAAAATGTGCGAGAGTAATACACGGATCCGTGGAGGGGGCACTAAATGTGTTAAAAATAAGTTTAGGCCTATCACACGATTTTTCCCACCCTTACTACTCCCACTGTCCTACCAACCACGAAAGAAACTTGGCAATTTTTTTTCTCGACACCTATGGTTTGCTCAATTTGCTGATTACAAAATTACAATCAAAAGGGTTTATTTTAGCAAAAAAAATTGCTGCTATAAAAGCGGCGGAAACTATTGCACAGCGCTTCTGATACAAGATGTGAATGGGAGATAAAAAGTAATAATACCTGAGCTTCGTTCACCCATCGACGAACCAAATCCGGGACAGTTGCAGACAAATGCAGAGCAGACACAAGTGCAGCAGAACTCACAGCAGGATTTTTGTCAACAATTGCCTGCTTCATATAACGTTCAATAGCTTGCAGCATGGTGCTGTCAGTTATGCTACAAAGAGCTCTAATTGCAGCAGCTCGGTAAAGGTCTTCTTTACCAGTCATATCTTTAGTCAGTGATGAAGTTACAATAATTACATCCTGTGCCAAGGAACTAAGTTCTTTAATACTTAGATAGACCAAGCGGCGCAACATTACATCTTTTGATTGAAACAGTTTTGTAGTCGCGAAAAAGATATCAGTAGCTTCTTGGGTAGTAAGTTTCTCTCCTTGATTTAGCAAGTAGATAATTTTGGTCAATATGTGAATGCATTTCTTGGGATTTACAGGCGTGGAATTGAAGTACCTAGCTTCTTGTAATAGAGTTGTTTTATCCAGATTTTGAAACATATTGGCACCTCCATCTTCTTCCTCTTTTTTGTCTCGTCGAAAAGAACTCATTATAGGGTACTATTGCAATTTAAAAATGTATTTCTTAAATGTTTAAAATTGTTTGCTTAATTATTGACGTAGCCGCAATTACGAATCACTACGTATCAGATGGGAAGAATCTTAGAATTAGAACAACCAATCAATACGGACACGGCGACACGGTAGTTTAGTTGTTGTTGTTTTTATTATTCGCTCGAGAGAGCAGGCAAAGGAACTATGCCATACAGCCTTGTCTTTATGTATAATTATCCTTCATTGTTCACTGCTTCACAATATGTTGATGCATCACATTGTGCAGCCCTTGGGAGATTTTGACGGCAACTTGAGCCAGCAGCTGAGGAACTACAAATCTTCCAACTGTGCACAATTACCTATGGAATGAAGTGTTCTCCCTGGTTAGCGATGCGTACCCTTAAACAACTCGTAACAGACGACGGCCACAAGCATCCCGAAGCGGCCCATATACTCCAAATTCAGTTCTACGCTGATGACCTTGAAGTGATCATAACCTGATCGATTCCGCTAAACAACTTCAAACATCACTTATCAACCTACTGCCCGGCGGCGGTATGAACTTACTCAAGTGGTCCGCGAATCATCCTGCGTTACTAGAAAACTTATCCGAGGATCAAATCTCTACGAAGAATAATTTTGACTTCAAACATGAAGAGGCTATGAAAACGCTCGGCTTTGGATGGAATCCACAAAGTGATACTTTCACTTTCATTTGTGACTTTAAGATAAAACTGATACCTCAACCTCCTAAAATGCAACTATTGTCCGATATCTCTAAACTTTATGAGCCACTGGGCTGGGTGTCGCCGATCACTGTTACATCTAAACTTCTATTCCAACAAGTACGGGTGAACAAGCTACAATGGGACGAGACCTTACCAGCCGACATACTAAGCGGCTGGATGAAACTGACAGCTGAACTACCCCTGGTCAAAAACATCAAACTGAACAGATGGCTAGGGGGGACCCAAGATAACACCGAACTATTAGGTTTCTGTGACGCAAGCGAGAAAGCGTACTCATGCGTCATATACAGCCGCATAACAAACGCGAGCGGTCCGCCAACTGTAACTTTACTTGCTGCAAAAACTAGGGTTGCGCCTTTGGCACACAAAACCACTTTGCCACCCCTGGAGCTTTGCGGGGCATTACTACTAGCACAACTGGTCGAGAAACCTAAGGAAGCGTTCAGAGGGCACAACTTAATAGTCCAAGCATGGAGTGACTCGCAAGTGGTACTTGCGTGGCTGCAGGGAGACGTGTCACACTGGGAAAGATACGTCGCGAACCGGGTGACAAAGATCAAACAAACCATCCCCGCAGCAAACTGGGACTATATAAAATCGGAGCTGAACCCTGCAGACTGCGCCTCCCGAGGTCTTAAATTAAAAAGGTGGCGGAGACAACCCTAGCGAAAGAAGACAACAACTTCATAATTAAATTATGAAATAATTGCAGCTCATTGTTACGTGTGATAAGGGTTATCGCCTGGGTACGGCGCTTCGTGACAAACTTACGCAACAATGCGAAAGTGGACCTCCACACGGCCGATGAACTTATAATAAAGTATGTGTAGCGGAATGAATTTGAAAACGAATACAAACTACTTCAAAAGAAACAAACAATTTCAAGCAAGGCTGCCATTTTCAAACTTAACCCTTATATGGATGAAAAAGGGATTATGCGAGTAGGAGGTCGTCTCCACAACTCGACTTTACCGATTGAGATGAAACATCCAATCATCTTATCTCGCAATAGGCGCTATACACAACTTCTTATAGAACAAGCGCACCACCTTGCACACTGCATGGAGGCGCCCGATTAACTTTATCATATATACGGCAGCGCTATTGGATTGTTGGCGGGAACCGAGCGGTCAAGGACAAACTACGTCACTGCGTAAGGTGTCATCGTTACAAGCCGACTGAAAATTATCAAATTATTAGCGACTTATCACAGCAGAGAACCACCCCGTCCCGACCGTTTACGCATACCGGAGTAGATTTCACTGGGCAACGAAGGGCTATATAGCCATCTTAGTATTTATGGCAACAAACGCCGTACATATCGAACTTGTATCGGACCTAAGCACTGAAACCTTTATAGCAGCATTTCAACGATGTGCGCACGCCGCGGCACCCTCAAATATGTATACTCCGACTGCGGCACTAACTACATCGGGACCGCGAAAGTGTTGCGCAGGGAGTTTGAAGAATTTAAGCAAATTCTATCATTAGAGTTCTTCAACGAGATCAGCAAACTAGAAGTGGAGTGGCACTTCAACGCCGGGGGCGTGGCCAACTGCAGGTGGCCTCTGGCAGGCGGCTGTAAAATCACTCAAATACCACCTTCGCCGTGTTTTGGGAGATCAAAAGCTCACTTATGAGGAGTTTTCAACGCTGCTGGCCCAAATAGAAGCATGCATGAACTCACGACTCTTGTGTCCTATTACCGAGGACCCCGAAGAATTCTACAACTATCTAACACCGGGCCACTTCCTCACCGGCGTACCAACTTTGTCACTCCTGCTCTCCGATTACAGTGACGCCAGAACTCTAGACCTGCGCCGTCGCTGGCAACTCACTGAAAACATGCTACAACAATTTTGGAAAAGCTGGTCTAACGAATACCTAACTCAACTTCAAAGCCGCTGCAAGTGGAACAAGCCCAGTAAGAACATTGAAAGGGGAGATATTGTCCTTGTTCGGGAAACCAACTTGCCGCAGGGAAAATGGGCGTTGGGCCGCATACAGGAAGTCTACCCAGGTTCCGACGGCTTAGTGCGCGTTACTACTGTAAAAACGCAAGCTGGTGTAATCAAGTGCCCCATAACTAAACTGTCACCGCTCCCACTGGTATATAAAAATCCGAAAAGGAAAATGAGCAAGAACTTAAAACTAAACGAGAAAAAAGAGACGACACGGACATCAAACTACATCATCGAGGGATGGCGTCTCCCACGCGGCGAGCGACGCGTGCAGTGCCGCAGTAGGCGCCCGCGCCGCAGCCGCACGCCGCGCCCTCTACTGCGATGACAGCGACGGCGGACAACATCACATGCAACTTTGACAATTAAAGCTTTCAATTCTTTGCTTTGTGCTGGCATATATTTTCCTTGAGGGTTAACTTTTGTTTCTTTGCTTTTCGGGTGGCCAATATGTATGGTTACACCACACATTTTTATTTAGTAAACGCTGCAACCTACTTTGAGGCGCGCGTCGCGTGTTATTAAATTGACTTAATTAATTGCATTCTCACAATCGTCAGTACGTCAACAACCGTCCTTCTAAACACCAACTACTCAAGGAAAGATTTGCCACTCTAACTTTATAACTATTTTACTTACTCATTAACTAACTACAACTTTACTTCCTGAAAATGTGTGGCTTTACAAACCATACACTATTGAAACGTAATGAAAACGAACCTTTTTTGAAAAGATTGAGCACGGGTGATGAAAAGCGGGTCACCTACGACAAGAACGTGCGACAAAGATCATGGTCAAAGGGTAGTCAAGCTCCATAGACTGTAGCGAAACCCGGATTAACACGCAATACGGTGATGCTGTGTGTATAGTGGTATTGGAAGGGCATAGTTTATTATGAGCTTTTACCGCCGGGCAAAACTATCAATTTGGATCTTTACTACCAACAACTAATAAGACTCAAGCAAGAAATTGAGAAAAAACGGCCTGAATTGATCAACAGGAAAGGAGTGGTCTTTTATCATGATAACGCCAGACTACACACATATTTGGCCACTTAGTGTAGGTTAAGTTCAAGAGAGGATTATTAAAACTAGTTGTCACATTTTTTGATCAAAAATCCCAAGATTTCTACAGCAACGGGATTATATAATTACCTAAAAGACGGTAACAAGTTATCGAACAAAATGGCACATAAATATATATTATCTTTATATATAAATATTACGTGTCACGTTGTTTGTCCGCGATGAACTCCTAAGCTATTGAACTGAATTCAATGAAATTTGCACACTCTGTGCAGTTTGGTCCAACTTGAGAGATAGGATAGTTTTTATCCCGATAAGTGACACTCAATTTTTTTTATTACGAATTTAAGCATTTTTTTTATATGAAGGGTCGTTGAAAAGGGCAGAACAACGTCTGGTCAGCTAGTAATTAAATGAAATTAAACTTTGGAAAACAATGTCTTGAATTTGTATATTAAATACGAGGAAACCTTTCCCCCGACCTTTTATAATTATTTTCTACCAAAAATAAAGAAAGAGCGACAAGTAAAATACTTGCGGCACTTTCTCTATTATTTAATGATAATATTATACCACATTTTATTCTGTACATAATTGGTACTTGCAAAGGCAAGCTCAGCGCCCCTTCGAAGCCTGCGCCTTAGGCTCAAGCCTAATCAGCCTGTGGGTAAATTGCTTTATTGCCATATTAACTTAACTTATCAACGGCCACTCGAGTTAGCGACGTCCAGGAAAAGTAATGCTTTACGCACTGAGCTCTTCGGAAACCAAACGTCCTGCATGGAGTATTCACACTGCGGCATGGTAGAAGTTGCGGTGAGCTGCTCCTGCTATCAGGAGTCGAGTTGCATGTAAAAATAACACCTAAAATTTCGCCTGTCTTCTTTGCGGTGTTAGCGGTGTTACCAGCGAATCATCTTCCCTGTGCAGAGATGGTAGTGATGGCTGACATAAATTCCCTCGAGTGGCCTTGGCGAGAGACCAGAATAAACGAGTTTTCCGCAAAAAAGTGAACTAATTCCTCGCCAATTATTTTTATTTTCTTTAAAGCTTGGTAATAACTCCTTAGAACGATCTGGAGGCACAGTTGTACCTATTCACACCGACGATGCGTCGGCTCAGGCATGGTGACACTCCTGCTTTTCGCGTCGTTGCAAGTTTACGTTGGTTCGCAGAAGCAACCAAACCAAGACTGGGATCTGCTATAAATCAGGAAATTAGTTCTTTAAATGAGTTCTATTCTCTGAAGCACCATATCGAAT